GCTTTAGAACCACCTCTGCGGCTGGCCCTGTAAAAGAACTGCCGGCCTGTGAGGGCACAGGTCGAAACCTGGAAGGGGGACGACCCCGACGGGGAACCTGGGCCGGAAACACTGCCACCATGTTTGATTTCAGTCTGTCCAACGTCACCTGCTCCTTACGCCCCCCCCACATCAAGCACGAAACTTTTATCTCCCGCCTCCAACACCCTAAACGGGCCATCGTATGGGGGCTTAAGGGGCGAACGGCGTTGTGATGCATAAAAACAAAACGAGCCCCAGTGAGGTCTGCCGGCACAAATGAACGCGGAAAACAGTGGTGCACAGGCAACGGCATAAACGCCGACTCAGTAGAGAAATGACGCGCCGCAAGAAACGAGCCTAGGGCAGCACTCTCCGGCAAGAACTCGCCCGGAATGCGAAGTGGCTGGCCTAGGACCAACTCAGCAGGGGAAGCATCCAGATCCTCCTAAGGAGAAGCCGAACGTAGCCCTAACATCACCTATCAGGCAGCCTTTCCACCCAGTTACCAACCACAAGCGCGGCACGCAGGGCTGCCTTGAGCGAATGATGAAACCGCTCACACAAGATGGGGTACCGAAAACGCGCGACACAGGACGCGTTAAATGCGCGAGCTATGTCCGTGAACGACAAAGGAACAGCCTCCGGCCACCTGGTGGTCCTGTCCACCATAGTCAGCAGGTGCATGTAGCCCTGCGAGGGGGGCAAGGGGCCCACCAAGTCCACGTGCTCGTGATCAAACCGCCTAGCGGGAATCGCAAAGGGTTGGAGTGGTGCTTTAGTGTGCTGGTGAATCTTAGTGCACTGACACACATGCAGCCGCCCACTCCTTGACCTCCTTTCGCAGGCCAGGCCATACAAATTTGGAGCTGATGAGTTTCACAGACACTTTAACTCCCGAGTGCGAGAGAGTGCACTGAATTTAAAACTTGACGGCGCCACGCCACAGGCACCGCAGGGCGGGGGCGACCTGTAGAGACGTCCCCAACGATTGTTGGGCCACCGTCGCACAGAGCCATGTCCTCGAGCTGCATAGCCGTATCAGCTGTTTTAAGGGCCCAGATGTCTGGATCGCCAGGCTGGTCTACAGTCATGGACAAAAAATCTATCCCGAGGAACACGGGACAGTTAACCGCGCGTGATAAACAGTCAGCGACGGACTTAGCTTTCCCGGCTACGTGCTGAATGTCAGTGGTAAACTCCAAGACTGCCGTCTCGTGTGTCGCTGCTGGCGAGCAGACCACGGCTAGGTTACTTTCGACATCGCGAACGTCAACGGTTTGTGGTCGACATACGCGGTAAAAGACCGACCCTTGAGCAGGAAACAAAAATGGCGTGTCGCTAAGTATAACGCCAGCAACACCCCGTCAAAGACGCTATACTTACGCTCGTTGTCTCGTAGCTTACGGCTGAAGAATGCCAATGGCTGCCACACGCCCGCCACCTGCTGCTCGACTACGGCCCCGACTGCCACGTCCGACGCATCGGTAGTAAGAGCAACAGGTGCGGTGGGCGAGGGATGCGCCAGGAGTGCCGCTGGCCTTTTTCTGTCTCAGGGCCCCGTACAGCGGCTGCAGGAGCTGGGCCGCATGCGGTAGGAAACGGTTATAAAAATTCACCATTCCCAAAAACTTCTGCAGTGCCTTCACGGAGGCTGGGCGGGGGAAATCTGTCACAGCCTGCACTTTGGAGGGCAACAGAACCGCGCCCAGCGTGGAAATACGATGGCCCAGAAAGTTGATGACCGGCAAACTGAACTGGCACTTCTCAAGGTTGATAAACAGGCCATGCTCATCTAGGCGCTGAAAAACTGATTTGTGGTGTGACCGGTGCGCATCAGTCAACGGGCTGGTGACCAGGATGTCGTCGAGATAAACAAACTCGAAGTCGAGATCTCGCAACACCGAGTCCATCAGCCTCTAAAATGTCTGCGCCGCGCCTTTAAGGCCGAAAGGCATGCGCAAAAACTCGAAAAGCCCGAAAGGAGTGATCACTGCGGTTTTAGGCACGTCCTCCGCACGTACAGGAACCTGGTGATATCCGTGCACCAGGTCTACCTTGGAAAACACTGACATTCCCACGGGCTGTTGGAACGACGCTCCATGTTAGCGAACCCCTCCATAGCAATAGCCGACTTCACTGCGCCGAGGCGTTGCGCACGCGAAAACCGGCGGACCGTCTGTGGGAATGAAATGCTCCACCCCGTGCTTCGTGACCGCGGTCGAAAAAGCGGGAGTAGTTAGTGAGGGGAAACTGCGACAGTAAACGCTGAAACACGTTGCTCGACGCGGAGAAACTACCATGTCAATGGCCACCATGCGTCATCATGTCTGACATGCGAATGTAGAAAAAGACAGCATCAATATGATGTCGATTTGCAACATCAACTAGCAACCCGTTAGCACACAGAAAATCTGCACCTAATATGGGAGTAGTAATGGCAGCAATCACAAAGTCCCACTGAAACTGGCGTCCGCTGAAACCAATAGTCACAGACCTGGTACCAAACCAGTAGGCAGCACTAAGCTGCGGACCGTTGCCGCAGGACGAAAGGTCCGAGTCTGCAGAGGGAAGGAGGCTCTTCTGCGAACCAGAGTCCACCAGGAAACGGCGGCCAGACAGGCTGTCCTTGATAAACAGCAGCTCCTCTTGTTCGCCGGCACCCTCCGCTGCTACTGCGTGCCGGCGTTGGCATTTCCCGACGCTGCGAATGTACGGAGGAGTGCAGCGCCTTGTTTCCGAAACGCCGGTGGAAGAAACACAGCTTACTGCTGCGCTGTCCTCGGGTGGAAACTCCAGCGACGACCACCGTCCCCGCATCCTCCTTCCGGATTCCGCCAGCTGTGGGGACTCTGATTCCACGCTCTGCACGGAGAAACGTCTGGTAGCCAGCAAGACCCGATCGTCCTCTTCCTTGCCAAACCGCGATGATCGCCGGCGAGGAGGCACGGGGAGTTGGCCAAAGCGGCGCGCCCCGGA